ATAATATATATTATTTCATAAGAACTCATTTGTATTAAAAGAAAGTAAAATAATTAAATCCATGAAGAAATCCGTCTTCTGGGATGTGGCGCCGTGTAGATATTGTGTTAACCGACGTTTCGGAGGAACTTATCACCTCCTCTTTTTTCTTCTACCCTGAAGATGGAGGCAATACGTTCCTCCGTAACGTCGGTTAACACAATATCTACACGGCGACACATCCCAGAATACGGCTTTCTTCATAGTCACCGCCGTGAAAACCTGAAATCTTACAATTAATTCCATTTTTTATATTTGGAGTTGCCTTTCTGTTCTGTGGTACTGTAAGTCTGGTCGGCGTACCGAGGTTCTACTGTATAGAGCTTAATAAAGTTCTTTGCAGTATGCGGTCCCAGAAAGTCTCTTGATTCGTCTGCGCAGTCGCGACTGCCATGCCCCCACATTGACCTTTACACAGGCCTTCCGAAGATCTCCACATTCGTATTCTATATGAGACACCATTAGCATCATTAGGGGGATCAAACGAAGGAGGATGAAATGGGTGAGGCTTGTAGATCGCTTGGGAAAGGAGAAATGTATACAAAGTTTTGCTCGGATAAGCAGAATAGAAGAGACCACTTAGAACAATTGGTACTTAAGTGATGATAATAATAAACTAGACCTTATAGAAAAAGGGCGCGGACTACATTCATCTTTCAATGTAGGGATCAGGTGTACGGACTCCTCTGAACAAGTAACAATCTTCGGATTCCATAGGAGGAGGGGGATTTCTTAACTAAGTGAGTTACTATTAGATTCTCATGCAGAACTCTTTCCATGGAATTTATTGTCATATTATCTATATCTATCTATTCCTGTTGCTCTCCCACTTTGGAGCATAGGGCATCCGTGAAACTCTTCGATTGGTTAACTTTAATAGGCATTCGGTAGGGCTGCTTGGACGGGGGATCAGTCCGACGCAAGGCCGCTACCCACACAGGAAAACACAAACACAGCATAAACGCGGACAGACATTAATGCTTTGAATGGGATTCAAATCTACGATCCCAGCGTTAGAGCGACCGAAGATAGTACATGTTTAAAACCGCCCTGTCACTATGTATAGCCCGTTGCCATACTAATGGAATTTAAAACGAAAATACAGGGTGATTCACGAAGTTTTTCCCCCACTTAGGGAGGGCATTCCTGAGGTAATTTGGAACAAAATATGTTAATATACTAATGGTATCCAACTCATAATTAAAGAAATACAGTAATTTTAAAACTGGCGAAAAATCTTTTTTTCTTCGAATTTCAGTAAAAACAAATTAGAAATACAATATAAACACCTTTTAAATCGTTAATGTTTTCGGAAAAAAGCATTCTAAAACCAAATCTTTCTTTTAAATTTCTTAATTTTGCATTGTGCAACATTTTTCATCGATTTTGTGTTACAAAATTACATTATTTTCAGCATCCCATTCTGTAAACATACCAATGGTTGCATATCACACCCTTCTATCAATCTGTTTCCTTTAAACTGTAGTGCTTTAGAAGACGACTGGATTTACATAAGATTTTAAAAAATGTCTCCCTGCACGTCAACACAATGCGTCGCACGCGTATGAACCGCTCTATCTACCTACGCGCAACATTCAAACCGGTCTACCTTATCTGCTGACATAGCTGACTGGAACGTATGGTCGTCCACGCTGAAGCATAGCGCTGCATTCACAATGATGCGTTTCGAAAACCTATTGTTACTCCGTAACTATTGAAAATCGACCACAAGTTTATAAGGAAACTTTGCAGGAAATAACCCCAGGAATATGTACCATAAGCCGGGGTAAAACTTCGTTAATCACCCTGTATGCTACCACCGATGTCATTATTCAGTGAAACTGTGGCCAAGTGAACTACTCTTAAGTTAATGTATAGATACTAATTATAGATTACACAGGTGATTTCGCTTGATATCAACCTGTTCACGCCACTAGTCATTAGTATATCTAATGAGTAATCAGCACTTTAAATTATAGAATTATGTAATATTCTGATTGCTAAAATTTAAATAAATAAAAATATTATTCAGCGTAAGATCGCCACATAACGTCACGTTGCTCTTACCGGACTTCAGTTCCTTCTCAGAAACTACTTCCATTATCTTGGTAGCAGTGACCTGCTTCTCACGCAGCCCTAAGCTCAAAATGGTTTCATGTACTGAAGCTGGTTATTATAGTGCAGTGTACCCTTTGTTCCGTTCTCTTGCCGGACATTTACAATGAGCTGAACAAAGGACAACAATGAGATATATGTACCGTAATTATAGCATACTACGTCTGTTTACAGCTAGATGCTTACCACCTGCACAATTTAGCCTATTATCTCTACCTGCTGCTACGAGTTTCAGATTGTTTCATATAAGTTCGTCCACAGCATCTTCGTAAAGCAGTGAAGCTTGGAAAGTTATTACTGTACATATAATAAGGAACTGCTTGTATCATCAGGCCTTTCAGAAGTAATTAATAATTATTCACCCAGATAATGTTTAGTTTATTTTATAACCTGAAGGCCCAATTGTGTGTTCACAAAATCCCACCAATGGAATATATGCTGAATCAGTTCATTTCATCTTCTTGATATTCAATTCAAAAACTTTTTATCACCTCGTTCTTTTTTTAGAAACATTAACAATTGAAAACATGTTAAATTATTATTGTAGTTGGAGAGGTTAGAAAACACGGTACTTAGATTTCAAGGGAAAACATGCATAACAAATATTTGAGAACAAAATGTGCTGAAACCAGCTGAACCTAACAGGGATATAGAACAATTTCCGATGTTAAGTAATGAAGAACGTAATATCTACATGTGTCAACTGGTATTACTAGATTAGTGAAGTAGTACGCGTTGCCTCGGATGGGAATGAAGCTCTAATCGAAGGGAAAATAAATTCGGACATAACTATGATGAGAACTCCTCCGGAGATGAAGAAGGAAATGGAAGGATAATATTAAAACAGCTCTTAGAAAACAGATTGAGGATGAAAGTTCCCAATGACTTCGTTATCAGCATGATTAAAATAATATTTCCAGAGTTACAAAGTTTAGTGGGTATATGAATAAATAATAGTCGTTTACACATACTAGACCGTGAGATAAATTTCATGTTCCTTAAAGCATACACCAGCGTGTAATTATTTATTCAGATTCATATATTTAGCATAATACAATTGTACACATAGCGATGGATGCTGATGTATTTACTACAGAGCCTAGGAGTAAATTTCTTCTTCAAATCAGCACTATTCTGGTACATGAATAAAGTATAATAGAAAAAGCAAAAGTGAAACGATATAATTTTCGTAATACATAACCGAAAAATAAATATCATTGTTTTTTTCTATGAAAGATCGCCCCGAATAAAGACACAATCTCTGTATCTAGATTCAAAACAACATTCGTAATAAAATCAGCGCATGCGCGGTAGAGACATCGGTTATCAGTGATGAATCCTATGCATAGAATTGAATTGACGATTTCAATTTAAAGCAAACGAAGCAGATCAAGGGCTGTTGAATTGGGGTTTGTCACGGTGTTGACCATGGAGAGTGACTAGTAATATTATTGTTTCAGGAATTGTCCACAAGACCAGTTTTTGTTCACGATGCCCCAGCTCAGTTCGACATCATACCAGGGAAGATGGGTAAGTTTCATTTTATCACAGATGAAGTGTCATTCCAGTCAGTGGTTACTTGATGACATCTGTTGACATACATAACGTTCTTCTTTCAACGTGTTCCATCCATCTATATAATGCAATTTAATGCACTGAAAACACTGGATTTGAATGGGCAGTTAGAAGCATGTGACGGCATGAATTAGTCCTAATCATGAAATAGTCCGTATTAATGAATGGATGGACAGATGGAAGTTTGTGTGAATGAACAGTTAGAAAGATGAATGGTTGGATAGAAAGGTGAGGAGAAATATGTAGAAAAATATGTATATAATGTGTGTTTCATACATCCCGGCCATGGATGTGGAAAAATTACAGATAAAATAAAGAACGTACATTTTATATATTCGTATAAATAGCGTACTTTTGTACGTGCGTCCCTTTGTTTATCTTTGGCTTAAATATTGGGTTTGGGGTTTCGTGGCTAGGTACGTTTTGAAACCTCATCATGCACGAGCACAATGAGTACAGCAGAATTGTTTGAATATTTTGGTGACTTTATTGCATATTATTATACAAACATAAGTCGTATAGAACACATCTTCACATAAGAGGATGTAGAATGAAGAGATTTCAGGGCATTATATTACAAATCATTTTATAAAGTTAGGATGTGAACCTTCGGATTCCATGAATTGCTGGGAAGTTCTCGAGTAGCTGCACAATTGACTGCTTCTCAAGAAGGGCTCAGTTCCTTGAGTGAGTGAGTCAGTGAGGATGTGAAGTCTAAGAGGATGTGACTGACTGAACCTGTTGCAGGGAAGGGAATACAAACGTATAATTTTGGTATGAAAGCCTCTTGGAAACCGTACATTTGGAATGTACACAAGTAGTATGAAAGTTATCATGCAGACGGTCCTTATGGAGATGTTTTATGAAGGAGGAATCCGGATAGAAGTGCATCAGGATCATGGCCAACGACAGGTATTCTCTCCGTGCCTAGAGTCCGTAAGCGAACCATGTCGACAGAGCGACCGCCGCCTGTCGGCGAAGTTAGTGTCAACTTTAGCGGATAGAGTGTGTCGCGTGGTCAGAGCAACGAATCCCCACGGCCGTTAATTTCGATTTTCTAGACCGGAGCCGCTATTTCTTGAAATAGCTCCTCAATTATCCTCACAAAGCTGAGTGGAACCCATTCCAGACCCACTAGTTTTCAGAAAATCCAGTAGCGCCAGGAATCGAACCCGAACCTCTGGATCTGTAACCAGGAACTCTGACCGCTAGACCACAGAGGCGGTCCACAATGACAGGCATTAGTAGGGCCTATTGTCGATGTTGAATTTCGGCTTCTTTTAGCAGGATATTTCTTCTTGACATTGCGATAAGTTTGTTGTCTCTCTAACACACTCGCACAAAAGATCATAAGGTTTGCATCCGTAATAAACGTGTTGGCGCCGTTCAGCGAGGCCTTCTGTATAATGACAGTTTCTACTGACCTTTCGGTTACACAAGGCTTGCCTAAAACCGGTTGCACAAAATTAAAGTTAGGTAAGAAAAAATAGACAGTAGTCCGACGCCTGTTTTTACTTCCACATGAGTCATTATACTTCGATCAGTAACTTGCAGTGAATGGGTAGGCCTTGATGGTAGGAGTTCGATTCCAGACAGTCGCAGCCGTTTTCCTCTTCAACCCCACATCCAGGTCAGCTCTGAAGTTCACCTAGACCCTCTCCAATGTGCATATTTGGGTGGATGAGAAAAGAAGGGTCCTTCTGGTGTAAAGGAACAGGAGCGTGAAGCTGATTATTCACCACATCCCTTGCTGAGGTTACGAATGCATGGAGCTGTACTTCCACTTCTCACGTGTCTCCATGTTGTGCTCATGCCACGTAATTAAAAGCACAAAGATGACTTTTCCTTCACCTGCCCTTTCACACGAACAATATTCTTCAGTAGTGTTCTTAAGAGACTACACCTCTTCAGCGATTTTTGTTTGGATTTTCATAATGCCCAACTTTAATTCCATTCAGCACTCTAATGACAATCTGATGTCGCTAATCTTGTCAGGAAAATACCCACATTTTATGAAAGGCACATAAATCTAATTCATACTTTCTCACTATCCATTTTAATACCATTCCCCCATCTATGCCTATGTTTCTCAGATGATCTTTTCCTTTCAAATATTCCAACTAACATTTTTTTTGCGAATTTTTAATCTCTCCGTCTGTGCTAATATACTGGCTATCTAATTTCTCCTGATGTAATAAACCTAATAATATTGGAGAAAAGTACAAATTATGAAACTCCTCGTAATTTTCTCTGTCCATCTGTTACATCCTCACACTTGTATCCAAATATTCTCCTCAGAAGGTTGTTCTCAAACATCCACAATGTAACCTGTTCGTGGCGCTTACAGTTAAAACTGAAGGCGCTACCCTCACATGAACAAATATTTTTATTATTCCACTCGCAATATGTTTCGACCAAGACAAGCCATCACCAAGTGATTCATGAAGAATATACAAATGATGACGGACCTAATTCAACTAACAAATCAATATTAGCATTATAATTTTTATACGTATAACATTTGTTCGCGTGACAATAGCCCCTCCATTCTTATCCACAATGTAAACTTGTATTTTCCCTCAACAATAGGAACTTAATAAACCGAACAGTAGGAAAGTACAAGGAGGATATCCGTACAAGTGAGGAATGACTTCGGTTAATTTAATAAGAAACATATCCGTTCTTAGGAGATATTAAGTACTGAAGAAAGACTGAAATATCCATAAGAATAAAAACAGAATTAATTTTTCAAACACTGTGAATCGTACAAACGCAGTCAGCGACTAACAAGCTTCATCGTATTTACAGTTCTGATATATCGTTGGCGTGCCAATAAGAGTGATATTTTCATCCCAATGAAATGTCTGGAGAAGCCTTATCGCCACTGCTTTTCAACTTTGTTTTAGAATATGTCATTAGGAAGGTCCAGAAACTGAAATTAAATGGGACATATCAGCTGTTGGTCTATGCTGATGATGTGAATCTACTGGGAGATAACATAGATACCATAAAGAAAAACACACAAACTTTAATTGATGGTAGTAAGGAGCTTGGCCTAGAAGTAAACGCAGAGAAAACTAAGAATGTTGCTGTCTCGCTACGAGAATGAAGGGCAAAATAATGACATGAAGATAGCTAACAGATTCCTTGAAAATGTGACACAGTTCAAATATTTGAGGAGAGTAACAAATAAAATCTCATTCAGGATGAAATTAAGAGGAAATTGAAATCGGGTAATGCTTCCTGCCGTTCAGTTCAATATCGTTTTTCTTCTCGTCTTCTCTATAGAGATGTAACAATTTTAATATACAAAACTATAATTTTGCTGGTGGTTCTGTATGGGTGAGAAATTTGGTCTCTGACATTAACGGAGGAACATAGACCTAGTATGTTCAAGAAGAGGGTGCTGAGGAGAATATTTTGACCGAAGAGAGATGAAGTGACAGGAGGTTGGTGAAAACTGCATAATGAGGGGCTTCATAATTTGTACGCTTCTCCAAGTATAATTAGAATGATCAAGTCAATGAGGATGAGATGGGCAGGGCATGTAGCACGAATTAGGAGAAGACGAATGCATATAGGATACTGGAGGGAAGCCAGAACGAAAGAGACCACTAGGAGACCCAGACGTAGGTGGGTGGATAATATTAAAATGGGTCCTGGAGAGGAGGGATGGACTGATATGGACTGGGTTGATCTGGCTCAGGATGAGGACTAGTGAAGGGTTCTTGTGAACGCGGTAATGAACCTTTGTGTTCAGTAAAATGTTTGGAAATTCTTGAGTAACTGCACGAGTGGCGGCTTCTCAAGAAGGCTCAGTTCCATGGAGATATTTTGTTAATGAAATGTCTAAAGTTGATGGCGAATGTATACTGTACAGTGTACACTGAACAGGCGCGTTCAGCCGAAGAAATATAAACGAATTACTTAAAGCCAGAATTAAATTTTCCCTGCTCTAAACAAATATTAAATTCACATGAAGCTATTCCCTCTTATGTGATGTTCAATTTTGCGAGAAATGATATCTGTGTACTTAATAATGAAGTACGTAATACTGAATTCCTATTGTTCACTGCATTAAAATTGGCTTAATTAAAACGAAACAACATATACGTATTTATAGTAATTATTTAATACATGCTTCGAAGTCATATTGCAATGGATTACTGCATTAAAAAATAAAACAGATAGGATTTTGAAACAGTCCGAAATCAATAAATATTTTCGTACTATTTTCCTTAATCTCGATTACGCCATGGTTGATTACTGAATACGCAAAATCGAAAATATACTTGTGACGTCTCTTTTGTTCATTTATCTGGAAAACATTTAGATTTTCGTAGAAATTATTGGATACAAAACGTGTTTCATCTTTCTCTGCGCAGTTTGTTCGAAATAATTTTCTCTGGGGTACGAATTTAGTGAAATGTGCGCAGAAACGCGGGTCTAAAGTGATTATTAAACTTGTTCGATTTATTTGAAACTTCTTCTTCATAGTTTTTTTACAGTTTTGCAGAATCAAATTTCAAGAAAATCCATCCACATTTCTCAAGCTGTTTCATACGTAAAAAACGACGGAATTACTGGGCGTCCTAAAGGGTTTCGGGTGCCCTAAAACTTAATATAAAAAGTGATTGCAGAGTTGAGAAACTGAAAGAGATTTTGAAAGATGCAATTATCAGCTTTTTATATATAATCCCGAAGCTGTGAAGGAAGCAACAATGTTAAAGGCCAGTGGTTATTTACGTTCTCCTTTTCTCCTAACCTGACCAAGAAATCTAATTAATAGTAATAGTAATAATAATAGTAATAATGATAATAATAATAATAAACAGATTTCCAGTCCTGCAAATCTTATGTTATTAGTGTTATACATAAGTAGATCTCATGTAAATTTATAATTCAGTAACAAAAGCGAATTACGTGATAAAATATCGTGATGAGGTTGTGATGGTCTTAGGTTCGAATCCTCCCTCGATTTTATATCCTGTGTTGTTTTCAGTGCGGTAAATATGTTGCTTTCCATTTGAGAAGAATTCATTGTCCAGGTAATTATAATTTCTACTTTAAATTTATCTAATATGACTTCAAGGGTTCGCACCGTTTCGCGTATATAAAGTCTCGATTTACAAACCACAGTTAATCTATAAACATACAGAACTTCTTGTTCATAAATTCAAGGGATCAACAAGAATTAATTCTTCAAAGCTGAAAGTTAAATTACTATTTCTGCTCAGCAATATATTATTGTTGTACGTTTTATGAAAAAAAAAGAAAATTAACAGACTTCAGGCCTATATATTCTTCCGAATATCTATTACCACACATAATTTGAGAACTGTAGTTTTATATTAAGAAACCCTAAAGCAGATACGAATTCGTACGTCTACAAAGCTGTTGTTACTCATTAGAATAAGTAAAAAAGCATGAGTTCGGGATGACTTCCACTGGCATAACTGTCACACCAAATTTCGAAAACTCTTTCAACTGTTTCAAAAATTGACAAAATAAAAAATCTCATAAGCCTCATTTTTTCTGTTCAGGAAGTAAAATAGTCTAAAAATCGGTTGTCGTTTTCTACTGACATTGCGAAGAAGATGAATTAGCTTGCATTGGAATGAATTGCTGAACTATTTGGCTTTATCTGTGTTGAAACTGGAGCATAAAACCAGGCAGCAGAGGAGGAACTAACACTTGCTGCGTCCGATTTCTCCACTTCTGTTCTGCGTGAAAGTCCACCTGCCTGCGGACATTTGGTGAAAGCAGACCAACTCCTTGGCTGCTGCAAGAGAAAAATGAATCATTCTCAGAGTTACACTGCGTGCATTACCACATAAATAGGCAGTAAGTTACCAGTTCACTGAACAAGATGCCGCTCGCTGCATAACAAATTAAGATCTAGCACATGCATCTGAGCAGGGTTTTAAAGCAAAGAGAATGACGCAAGGGTGAATCGCCCATTTTGAAGTCTGAGAGGAAACACCTGTAAAGCGAGGTTGATCAGTCTATGAAATGACTGGCTAAGGGCTCGACGGCCAGCTGTTATTTTGGCTATCAAGTCAGGGGGAGAAGGCGTTTAGCACGGATGGGAGTTCAGAAATTAATACAAAGTTTTAAATAAAAATTAAAGGTAGGAGACCACTTTGGAGACCTAGACATGGACAGGAGGATATTATATAAGACCGAATATAAAGCGACCCTCCATTTTCTAAAAAGAAAAAAATCAGAAAGTTTTTTCGACAAAATTAACTGTTATTTTTTCTGATGGTTTTAAAAACGTAAAGTTGTCCTGTGCTTAACTAATTAAACACTACTCCAAGAAGACGTATGGGGGATTGGATGTATAGATCCACTCATTCTTGAGGTCGACACTTGTTCTAGGTGAGCGGTCAGCTTCATTTTCCGGCCGCTTTACCCCGGAGTAAATTTCCACCGCTACTCATTTAATATATAGCTGGATGGGCCTCAGAGCAGGTCTGGACGACATGAAGAAGGGAAAAATCTTTACCAGGAATCTTCCTGGGGTAAAGGGCGACGACGCATAAGGCTAACAATCTTACCACCATCTATGAGCCGATTGCCTAGAAAATGTGAGAGCCTCGACGTCTCACAACCCTATGGTCCTCCACAGCCTGTTACAGGGTTTTAAGCAAAAAGAAGTAAAATCTCTCCTATTCAGAATGTAATACCTTCAATGTAATTCTAGGCATTTTCACGAATAGTTAACAACTAGAAGTACTGATCTTCATATTTACCTGTATTCTGAAGGACCCGAAAATAAAGCGACCCTTTCTCTAAGAAGCAATGTTTGTCAAAAGAAACTGTCCTTATATTCGGGCTAATAAAGTAATATTAAAATATATCTTCCGGAAAGGGGGCACGCGGTAGCTTAGTTGGTTGAGGCACTATGCTACTAGCCGGATGGTGGCATGTTCGAGTCCCAATGAGGTGAGTTTTTCAGTTGACCTAATACTTCCAGCCGCACTTTGTCCCTGGTGATGACTCAGCCTCTAACAGAAATGATTACCAGGAATATTCCTGGAGGGTAAAGGGCGGCCAGCGCATAAGGCCGACTGTCGAGAGAAAATGTGGGAGCCTCGACGTCTCACAAGCTTATGGGCCTCCACGGCTTGTACCTTACATCTTACGGAAGTAAGTGTGAGGATGCGAACTGGATTCGAATAGGTGAAAATAGGCTACCTTGTCGGGATCCAGTGAATGGACCCTTGAGTTCCTTGAAAGGCCAACAATTTCTTGGCTAAATGAGAGGATAATGATTTTCAGGAAGAATCTCGACCAACGTCGTGGTTAAGTGCCCTGTATTCCGGAAGTCCCGAGTTCAAATCCTGAAGTTGTCCTCATTTTCAGGATAATTCCGTGAGATACCTCAGATTAGATCAAGACTGCTTCATTCCTCTTCCATCCAAATTTATTGCATACTAATCGTCTTATCTAGGATTTGAGGGTCTCACAACAATGTTTATGAAGCGTTCATTCTCTGCGATATAGTGCCGCTTGGTCCGATGAAAGTCAACAGTCATTTCTGAAAAAAAAATGCTTCCATCTTCAGGTCGAAGAATAAGCCAAGCCAGAAACCAGCTTGAAGCAGGTGGCAAGCAGAGCATACTTAGCCCTGCTTCATCACCATGTCATTCGTTAGTATATATATATATACACACACACACACATACACATACAGTGGAGCCTTGCTTAACGAGCACCTCTCATAACGAGTAATTCGCGTAACGAGCAAAACAAATTGTAAAGGCGTGACTCGCTTAACGAGCGACGTTTCGCATAACGAGT